GCTTCATTCATTTCCTTTCAATGGCCCATGTATATGCAGAACTGTGCTGAGTGTATCAGTTATTTTCCCTACATGGAATGGCGCTTGATAAGCTTTGGCACACCCTGTGGAAGCGGCCAACTTTGTGGATCCCAGGACGCGCGTAGCGCTGAGACCGCGCCAAGCTACAGCGGGGCGTCCAGCTGTCGGGGCGAGTGGAAAGGAAGGCACAGCGGAGTGGAACCGCGCAGCGCACGCCACAAGCACCAGGAGTTCATTTCACTGGGGCAGCACGTGGGGTCCTGACGGGAGGGATGCGGGGTAAGTGCTTCTGCCTAGATACGCGACGCGGGAACCCTGGGGAGACAGGCCTGTGATAACTCGACCCTGGACCACATCCTGCGGCGGATTTGGTAGGTAGCCTCGGTGAAGGGCGGAGTCTTCCAGAGAAGGGAGGAGCGGCAGAAACATGGAGGAAGGCGGAGGGGCGAGGAGGAGGTTTCTTTCCAGGGCTCCTTTTAGCAGGTTGATTGGTTTTCTCTGGGCTACAGCCCCCTCTAGCGTTTCTTATGCGCTGGAAGTTCTGCTTTCTTTCATAGATCAGTAAGGATCTTTTTCTATTCCTAATATTCGGGGAAAATTTTTCACTACTGGACTCACCCTTCTTTACAGTTAATCTCAGTTCCCCTAATAACGTTTTAAGAATGTCTTCGCCGGGCGCGGTGGCGCGTGACTGTAGTCCCAGCTACTCAGGAGGCTGAGGCTGGAGGATCTCTTGAGCCCAGGAGTTCTGGGCTGTAGTGCGCTATGCTGATCCGGTGTCCACACTGTTTGGCATTAATATGGTGACCTCCCGGGAGCGGGGGACCACTAGGTTGCCTAAGGAAGGATGAACCGGCCCAGGTCAGAAACGGAGCAGGTCAAAACTCCCGTGCTGATCAGCAGTGGGATTGCGCCTGTGAATAGCCACTTCACTCCAGCCTGGGCAACATAGCGAAACACCTCTTATTTACTTATTCATTAAAAAAAAAAATCTTAAGAAGCAAGGAGGAAAGATTTTGTGCCCAGTTGGCCACCTTGAAGCCAGAGGCGTCTGTTATGGTCTTTTTCTCTTTTTTCTTGAGACAGGGTCTGGCTCTGTTGACCAGGCTGGAGTGCAGTGGCACAATCTCGGCTCACTGCAACCTCTGCCTTCCGGGTTCAAACGATTCTCCTGCCTCAGCCTCAGTTACCTGGCCACCACAGCCGGCTAATTTTTGTGTTTTTAGTAGAGACGGAGTTTCATCACGTTGGCCAGCCTAGTCTCGAGCTCCTGGCCTCACGTGATCCACCCTCCTTGGCTTTCTAAAGTGCTGGGATTACAAATACGAATCACCACACCTGGCCACTCATAGTCTTTTAGTAAGAATATATTTAAGGGAAATTCTTTACATAGTAACAGGAGAATTGGACTTTTAAAGTCAGATATGTGAGAGTCTCAACTGGTCCTCTGTCCAGTCATGAGATCTTGGACACGCTATGTAAATTATCTAAGCATTAATTAACTTATGTATAAAATGGATGTAATCATGTTACCATAGACACTAGGGTTTTAGGGCTGGCAGATGTAATAAAGGGGAGGCTTTATTAATAACCTCTCTTTATCTCACTAATCATTGCTAATTTCTGCTGTTTCCTAGGTGTCTCAAAACTAAACTCATGCCTCTGGCAGTCATTTATGGAGCAAACAGTATGTGTCTGGCAATGTTCAAGTGCTGAGAAAAATATAAGGCATAAAACACATAGTTATAAAACATAGCTGTCAGACAGAGCACCCACTTTCCAGGAGTTGACAGTTGTAAAGAGGAGACAATAAATGCAATGACCTTGCAGTGTGATGGGGGCTAGCACAGCAATGTATGCAGGTGTTGTGGGTATTACAGGGGAGGAAGCTGGCCTGGAGTGTCAGACTCAGAGGATCTGGGTAGAGCAGAGGTTCACAACCTCAGCATTATAGTGAGTACTTGATGTTTCAGGCCAGACAGCTCTTTGTTGTGGAGGTTGTCCTGTGAATTGTAGGATGTTTAGCAACATTTTTAGCCTCTACCCACCAGATGCCTCTAACACCAACACCTCCCTGATTGTGACAACCCCAAAAATATATCCAGACATTGCCACATGTCCTGAGGGAAGAGGGTTCACTTGAGAACTGATGTGTAGAAGATAGCTGAGACATCATTCAGAGTTGGATTTCCCAGAGGCATCTTTATTTGGCAGAATGGCAGATTAGTCTTTTTCTTTCTCTTTCTTTCTCTCACTTTCTGAGACAAAGTCTCGCTCTAGTCACCCACGATGGAGTGCGGTGGCGTGATCTCAGCTCACCGAAACTTCTGCCTCCTGGGTTTTGCCATGTTGGCCAGGCTGGTCTCGAACTTCTGACCTTAGGTGATCTGCCTGCCTTGGCCTTCCAAAGCGCTGAGATTACAGGCGTGAGCCACCGTGCCCAGCCAGTTTTTCTTAAAGACAGGATTTCACTCCGTTGCCCAGGCTGGAGTGCAGTGGCAAGATCATCATAGCTCACTGTAACCTGGAGCTCCTGGGCTCAAGTGATCCTCCTGCCTCAGCCTTCAGAGTAGCTGGGACTATTCACGCCACCAGGCCTGGCTAATTTTTTAAACTTTTTGTAGAGACAGTGCTTCAATATGTTGCCCAGATTGTTCTTAAACTCCTGACCTCAAGCAATTCTTTTGCCTCAGCCTCCCAAAGTGCTGGGATTAGAGGTGTGAGCCCACACATGGCCCAGATTAATTTTTTGGCTGGGCATGGTGGCTCATGCCTGTAATGGGAGGATGAGGAGGGTGGACTGCCTGAGCTCAGGAGTTCGCAACCAGCCTGGGCAACACAGTGAAACCCCGTTTATACTAAAATACAAAAAATTAGCCAGGCATTGCAGTGTATGCCTGTAATCCCAGCCACTCGGGAAGCTGAGGCAGAAGAATCAGCTGAACCCAGGAGGCGGAGGTTGCAGTGAGCTGAGATCCCGCCACTGCACTCCAGCCTGGGCGACAGGCTGTCTCAAAAAAACGATTAGTTTTTTGTTTATATTAATATAATTGGTTCCTTAATTATTTTAATGTGTTAGAACATACTAATTTTAATTTCAAGGTACAGATACAATTCTTTAAATATATTTGGGCAGTAGTGATACTTGCAGAAAATAGTGAATGAAAGAAAATAAAAACAATAGCATTCCACCACATACAAGTCCTAACAATTTTCTAACCATCATGCTCTTTCCCTCTCCACCACAAACTCAGCCTCCTTTTGTACTTGTTTGGATTAGGACCTGGAGAGGGCAGAGTTTGGGGCAGGGCGCAGGCAGTGCAGTTCAAGCCAAACCTCCCCTCCAGGGCAGGGCCCCCTACTCCTGCTTAGAAATACCCAGCATTCCAAAGAGAATGTTCCCCTTCTTCTCCCTAGGCTTGATCTCTCCTTGGGTTTCAGGCAAAGGACTTCAAGACTGAGGCAGTCTTAGAAATTTTCCTTAGGCTGCATTGCCCCTTATTTCTGAAGCAAAATTGTGTTTGATGCCTAAGAACATAGAAGGTGATAGTGAAGAGAAGAGGTGAGTGCAGCTGATTTTACCAGAGTCAGCGGAGCTAAGAGCCTGAGCTGGGAAGCTCACTGCAATCTCTGCCTAGAAGTCCTCTGTCGCAGGGCCTGGGCATCTACATTTTATTTTATTATGTATTTATTTTTGAGACACAGTCTTACTCTGTCACACAGGCTGGAATGCAGCAGCGTGATCTAGGCTCACCACCTCCTGGGTTCAAGTGATTCTCCTGCCTCAGCCTCCCAAGTAGCTGGAATTACAGGTGCCCACTGCCACACCCTGCTAATTTTTTTTTGGTATTTTTAGTAGAGAAGGGGGTTCCACAATGTTGGCCAGGCTGGTATGGAACTCCTGAACTCAAGTGATCCACCTGCCTCGGCCTCACAAAGTAAAGTGTTGGGATTACAGGCGTGAGCCACTGAGCCCAGCCAAACACTTACATATGGAGATGCTTTTGTAGAAGCCAGAGGTGCTGTAAGAAATACAACTTTGAGACAGCCATGCTGTGAGACCATCAAAGCTAGCTAGGGAGCAAGGCTACCTGAAGAAGCAATGAGGTACTAAACATGTGAGTGAAATTTCTTGGGTCTTCCAGACCACCTACCAGACACCAGCTAAATGCAGCTATGTAACTCTGATTTCCTGTGGAACAGAAGAACCATCCAGCCAAAGTCTTTCAGAATTCCTAGTTCACAGAACCGGAGGAAATAATAAATCATTGTTTTAAGCTCCAACATGATGAAGTGATTTTTATACAGCAATCGATAAGCAAACACAGGGCTTTTAAGAGAAATGAAAGAAAACTGCATTCTGGGGATAGTAAATTTTGTATGCTTTTGGTGTAACCTGATTAGCTGGCAATTAGCAAAAAGGTCAGTCTTGGGATTCTGTACTTCAGTAGGTTTTCTAGGGATATCAAAGAAGACATTTTAGTTGTTTATTCTTAAGAAAACTCTGGGAGTTCACCTATGAAATATCCTTGCAAAATGTGTCAGTGTCCCTTGTTAGCACCTTTGACCTTGTTAGTTCAGGTTTGCGCCATTTCCTTTATTAGAATTTTATTAAAGACAACTTTGAGATTGGGAAAAGACCTGAGTCTTTTCTGACTCTCAGTGGGCCTAGAGGATATGAACACTCTCCAGTGCCCCATATTCTCCTCCTTGTTTGAAGATGACAGCAGTGACATTATTCTCTCCAGCTCTTCAGTCAGTCGTCATGGCTACCTAAACATGGAATGTCCTAAGGTGGCTCAGGTCATTGATAGGGAACTAGGGCCATGACCTTGGAAATGTGAGCTGCTGAAGGGGGCCAAGTGGACTATGGAAATTAGGATCTCCCTGCATGGTGGGATTACAAGGCAACCAAGAAACAAACAGAAACAGAAGAAAACCGAACTAAGATTTGAAATACCCACAGAACAGAATCATGGAACGTAAAACAAGTAAACTATATTTGGGAGCTGGGGTGAATCCATCACTGGTGACTGGAACCTTGAGTCGGCATTTTCTCCTCAGGAAGGTGGGCTGGAATGGGGTGGGCTGTGTTTGGCAAGGGCTGTAGTGGTTTAGAATCTGGGTAAATGAGCAGAATCAGAGGTGCAGAATCAGTTTTCTGACTGTACCTCTCACACCAACCCAGGACCTGTCCATGTGTCCTCTTCACTCTGTGTTTCCCATAGTCCCTGTCCTCTGGGGTGTCCTCCATTTTCTCCCTCACCTCTCACCTGCCTGGTTCCCCAGCTGGGCCTCAGGCCTGTCTCCCCAGAGTAAATGCCCAGGATCATTGAGGAAGCGTTGGCTGCGCTGGCATGTTAGGCAGGTCTGTACTGTCCAGCGCTGTCCCCTGCAGCCTAGGGTGGACATGGGAAAAAGTGTCCAGGTTCAGAAGTAATGGTCTCTTGCTGACAGTTCTGCCTCCAGTGTTTTTCAGTAGGTACCCCCGCTCCCCCACCACATCCCCAATTTAAATGGACGTTTGATGGTGTCAGGCCCCTGCATAAGCTCCTTAGATTTCTTGGAACTCTTTAAGATAAAGTCCAAACTCCCTAACAAGACTTCAAGAACTGGCCCGTTTCCTTCTCCAGCCTCATGTCTTGCCCTCCTACCTCAAACTCCAGCCTCCTGAACTCTCATTTCCTTGACAGCACCACAAGCTCTTGTCAGGCCTCCATGTGCAAGCCCGGACCCAGAAAAGTCTGAAGTCCTGCCTGCCTCGGCTGATCGCCCCCCATCCTCCGCATGCGTTCGCCATTATCCCTGACTCAGAGCTTTCCCTGGACATTAGGCTTCTCTTCCCACTCTGCCATCTTAACTGTTATTATGATAATGTGAATACTCCTCACCCCACCCTACCACCTTAACTGTTCTTGCTCTGTGAATATCCCTCTACTCTAACGCCTTTCCCCACCCGCCATTGTAACTGAATTTATGGTAATGTATACTCCTTGCCCCTACCCCCACCACTGTAACCAATCCAGTAACACCCCTGCCTCCTTCCCAAAAAATTTGTCCCAACCTATAAAACCAACTCCTGGCCGGGCGCGGTGGCTCAAGCCTGTAATCCCAGCACTTTGGGAGGCCGAGGTGGGTGGATCACGGGGTCAAGAGATCGAGACCATCCTGGTCAACATGGTGAAACCCCGTCTCTACTAAAAATACAAAAAATTAGCTGGGCATGGTGGTGCGTGCCTGTAATCCCGGCTACTCAGGAGGCTGAGGCAGGAGAATTGCCTGAACCCAGGAGGCGGAGGTTGCGGTGAGCCGAGATCGCGCCATTGCACTCCAGCCTGGGTAACATGAGTGAAACTCTGTCTCAAAAAAAAAAAAAAAAAAAAACCAACTCCTATCCTAACCCACCACCCTTTGCTGACGCCCTTTTTGGCCTCAGCCCACCTGCACCCAGGTGGATAAACAGCCATGTTGTGGTAGGTATCTTCATTCAAAGCGCACGTTTTAACAGCTCTCTTGTCTCAGAGTCCTAACACATGCCAAGAATTTCCATCTCTTACTCCCTTTGCTATCATGAATTTTACCACCACTGGCATGAGTAAGTGAGCATTTTACTCCACCAGTTAAAAATAAATATTTGCTTAACCAATGATGGGACTCATGTCCTCTGCAAAGCCAAATAACATCTATTATTGTGCATGGGTGGGGTTGCCTCTTAAAGTAACAGCTATTCTCTACTGCCCACGCTAGGAAAAAAAAAAAAAAAAAAGCCAAGCCCAAACCCTAGTTTGTGCAATGGAGTTAGCAACTTAATCTAAACCTGAAAAAAGAAGACTCCTGCGAATTCCACACCCAACATCCATTTAGAGGGAGGAAGGCGCTGTTGGCCTCCAGTGCCCCCGCCCCACCCCACCCACAATGTTCCGCAATCGTCCACCTCGGCAGGAGCACTCACGTCTCTGGCGCTGGGTGCAGGTGAGGCCGGGCACGAGGAGGGAAGAACAGCCTCGACAGAGAGTCCTCTTCACCGAAGGGTCCCTGGGGGCGGAGGAAGGCAGTGGTCCCGAGCCCGCGCTCCCTCTCGCGTTCCATCCGCCCGCCACCCGCCCCAGGGCTCTCACCGCCGCAAGACGAGCCGCTTCGCGATGGTCCTCTCCGTGTGGCAGTAAAATCTTGCCAGCGCCTGGTTCTCGGGGTCCTGGGCAAGGACACAATGCGCGGCCTGCAGGAGGGGAGCGGTCATTCTGGGGCTTGCGGCGCGGAGCATCATCCCGTGCGGCCCTTGTTGCAGACTCACCTGGTACAAGAAGCTGAGCCTCTGGAAGGCCTCGCGGTCCTTCACCGGCCCCGCCATTAGCGCCGCGCTCCTCGGCCGCCCGCAGCCCCGCCCCTCGCACAGCCCCGCCCGGGCGTCCGCGCGAGGCCTCTTGGGAAGCGTAGTCCCCGCGCCTTAAGGCGCCTCCCCGCGGCCTCACAGATTTATCTGTTCCAAAACCAATCCCCAGCAATCCATGCCCACGGTCCCTTTATAAGTTTTCAGTGTTTGTGTCTTCCTCAAGCTCATGACCAGTCATATTCCCTAGGGACCTAGTGGAGCAGGTGAGGATCTTAAATCGGCTAGACATTTTCAGGACCGAAACCTGGTCTCTTTATGCAGATAGGTTGGGGAGATGGTTATGTGCAATTTATACACAGGTAGAGCTTCTGCCCTACTCTCCTGAAGTCAGAGGCAGATGCCTGTAAGATCTACAGAGGGAAGGCATAGAGGTACTACATAAAAAAAAAAAAAAAAAAGCACTGGTGCCAGTGGGGGTGAAAGTGAGCAGGATCATGAGGGTGCTGGAGGGAGGCAAAAGGACTCTCGGTCCTCGGAAAGCACGGCTTACTCCCACTTTTCCACTTACCAAAGAGACCACTTCCTGTTATGCAGTGCTGGACACACAGTAGGTGATCCGCACTTTCTGAGTGGTTTCTAACTCCTAGGCTTAGGTACAGCACAGAAATCTGTCAACAGCATTCCCTGCCCCTGAAACTTCACCCCACTCTCCACGCTGACATTCACTTCACACCCCTCCCTCTGACCCCTTCTGTCTTCCATTTCTTCTGTCTGGTGTCCCGTGACTCATAGTGACTATCAGTTACTGAGGTCAAAAGCAGATGGATGTGAGCTGGAGGGGTAGATGAACGAACCCTGAGATGGGGAGGCAGCGTTAGTCTGGAGAGGGTAAGACTTCTCTTCCCTCTCAGACCTGGTGCCAGGCAGGAGCAGAAAAGCCGGGCTCCAGCTGGGAGTAAAGACATGGCTGAAACCTCTGAACTAGTTTCACAGGGTTCCTCAGACAGAGGTGTGTTTAAAATGTAGATGCAGGCCAGGCACAGTGACTCACACCTATAATCCCAACACTTTGGGAGGCTGAGGCAGGCGGATCACTTGAGTTCAGGAGTTAAGAGAGCAGCCTGGGCAACATGGCAAAACCCCATCGCTACTAAAAATACAAAAATTGGCCGGGTGTGGTGGTGCATGCCTATAGTCCCAGCTACTCGGGAGGCTGAGACAGGAGAATGGCTTGAACCCAGGAGGCAGAGGTTGCAGTGAGCCGAGATCATGCCACTGCAGTCCAGCCTGGGCAACAGAGTGAGACTCTGTCTCAAATATAAATAAATACATAAAATAAAATGTAGATGCCAAGGCCCACCCCAGACCTTGACTAATCACTAAGGTGAGACCGAGGAACATGCATGTTAAACACCCAGTGATTCTTACACATCAGTACAAGGCTATCACCAAATTACCACACAACACAGAGATCACTTCAGTGGATCCTTTGTTCCATATTATTTTCACCAACCAAAGTATCTTGCCACAAAGAACCACAATCAAGGCACAAAGGTAAGAGGAGGAGAGTCTGGACAAAGTCCTATTGAGGTGGTAGGAGGAACTGAAATGCCCTCAATAAACTGCAGATTCTTCTCTCAGTCATTTCTGTGAAGATTACCCAAACAGCAGATAATCCAAATTAGTTTAGTTTGGTTTGGCATGCATCACTTTTACCTTTTATGACAACATATGTACCCTATAAGTTGTTTATTTTGGCCTAACATGAAAATCATTTACATTCTCTGAAAAGGGAAATGGCAAACGGTGAGGGATGGCAACAAACAAGCAAAAGCCTGGCTTTTGTTAACACCAGTTCCAGGACAGATGCACACAGGCCAAAGAAAGTTGCCTATTTGGCCATTCCCTATACACCACCCTCTTCTACCCTGCCCTTAGGGTGAGGAAGACTCTATTACCTTTCTTCCTTTCTGGCTTGGACACCTTGGCCAGGTAACAAGGCTGACAATTTGGGAGTAGCTACTTCATAACATTCTTCACGGCCAGGGCTTTGGATACAAATACCTTTCTCTTTCCTCTAATACCTGACTCTCCTTTCCAATTTCCCTTGGGAAAACTGTGAAACGATATGTCTTGCAGGATCTCTTCTACCTCGGCTCTAGAGAGGAGCAAGGTGACTGACTTCTTGGTGTAAAGAGGCAGGCAATCAGCCAACTCTGCTGAAGGCTGAGGCAGGGACCTGGGTTCTCCTCTGCTTTCTTTTTAGCCTCTCCTTTCCACATTCCTACCTCTGGCCAATACTACCCATAATGGCAATCTTACCCTTGGAATGGAAGACCAAAGAAACCTCCCTCCCCTTCATTAATCTCTAGGAACTTGTTCCTTTAACCCACTTCCCTGACCTTCCTTCTAACCTTGTTGATGTCAGACATCTGCCCTCAGAAAAACTCCTCAACCGAGACCCATGAGAGCATCTGTCATTCATCTTTCTTTAATTTAGAGGTACACAGACTCCTGTGATCTACCTCAAGAAGCAAGACTATCCTGGGTCAAAGAACCCCCTAAAAGATGTGCAGGGGTTCTGTTTCCTCCTCTGGTTTGAGAAAGTCAGACCCTCACAGATTTTGTTTCTGGAAAAGCCTCTCCTTCCTTCCCAACCCGTCCTTGTGCAACAGAAAACCTGATGGACTTCAGGGCAGATAATCCTCTGGGAACCAGCTCCTTGCCCTGACAGGAGGGAGACACAGCTGTGCTCTCTCATCCAGCCCAGTCCTGCCTCCCCCTCCACACAAAACCATCCTAGAAACTGAGGTGTTTCTCCAAGATGATTCAGGACTGGAACCAGGTGGACACGAACACGTTCCAGCAGGACACAGGAAGGAGGCCCGTAGCACTTGACCCTGCCTCACCCCAGGTATTCCCACATCCCAACCTGTCACTCCCAATCTGTTGGGGGTCTGATGGTAAGTGGTGCAGCATTCTTCCGTCCAGCCCGGATGCCCGGGTAGAAGAGGGGCCAAAGTTTCTCAGTAAAAGTATCAGTGAAGGTGTAGATATGAGAGCGGTCTGTGACATTGTAGAAAGACAGTGTGCCGGCCTCATAGTCTAGGAATATGCCTACCCGCTTGGGTTTCACCTTGATGTGCAAAGGGGTAAAAGGTGTGGTGGTGGCCGCATACTTGTCCCCATTCCATAGCCGCACCCGCCAGTAACCAGTCTCAGGGAGTGGAGTCAACTCGCCCTTTCGGCTCACGGAGTCCCGGCACACACCCACTGCCCAGTGGGTCTTGTCGCCCACCTCCACCTCCCAGTAGTGTCGACCTGAGGTGAAACCCTCAGTAGCCAGGACGCAAGGGTAGAAGGTGAAACGTCTTGGTGTATCAGGAAGATCCCGGAGTCTTGTCTCCACGAACTTGACACTCTTACGATCCTCCGACAGGACTAGGTTAGGATGAGCCGTCTCAGGATCCAGGGTCACATCCGCTGGCGGGAGAAGCCAGAGTGGGGAGCTAGATGAGGATGGGAATAGCTAAACGCCCCTGCCTCACTCTTCCAGCCTGCCTTTACAGAGCCTGGTCCCTTAAAGGTCCCCAGAACAACTTTCTCAATCCATGGTGTCACCTAAGGGAGGGGAGAAAGCAATGGCTCACTTCTCACACTGACCCTAAACAGATAATCTCTTGACTCTGCAGGGGCTGGTAATCTAGGTTCCTGCCTGGTCCTCTCTTCATCTCCCTCTGACATCATCATTTATTTTACTATGTAGACAAGTACAAGGTACAGCCTGAGGGCCAGAAAAAATGGAAAGTGTTAAGAAGAATGCAGAGCAAGACAGCATATGGCCTAGGGATAGAGTGACCATGTGTCTGTTTTCTGAGAACTGGCCTCGTTTATGACTTTATGACTATTTTTTCCTGCATATTAACATTAATATAATGATACTCCCTTTCACTTTATTTTTTTTTTTGAGATGGAGTCTTGCTCTGTCCCCCAGGCTGGAGTGCAGTGGCACAATCTCAGCTCACTGCAACCTCCACTCCCGGATTCAAGCAGTTCTCCTGCTTCAGCCTCCAGAGTAGCTGGGATTGCAAGGTGCGTGCCACCACAGCTGGCTAGTTTTTGTATTTTTAGTAGAGACGGGGTTTCATCAAGTTGGCCAGGCTGATCTTGAACTCTTGACCTCAGGTAATCCTCCAGCCTTGGCCTCCCAAAGTGTTACGATTACAGGTGTGAGCCACCCAGTCTTTCAAGGTTATGCAAGTTTACATGATAAATTATATAATCACTCTACCCGATGCCTTTGGCAAATTATTTAACCTTTCTGGGTCTCTATTTAGAAAAGTATCGACCTAAGAGTAGATAACACTTAAGGCTTCCTCTCACTCCAAGTTCTGTGACTCAGGGTGAGAGTAAAAGCCAGGTAAAGGGGTAGGTGTGGGTGGGAGCAAGAAAAGTGAGAGATGGGATAACTCAAACCCACATAAGGTAAGACCTAAAAGCTTTCTTCTCTCTAGTGGTTCCTTCTAGTTTCCTTTTGGCAGCAACTCACCAATTAGCTGTTTAAGGATTTTCCTTAGGGCAAAGTACTGTCGGGGGAAATTGCTGAAGTTCTTTTCCAGCTCTATGGATACTGAAGTCACCTCCATGGTCTTCACCTTCTCACATCTAGGAAGGATAGGGAGACAGGGAAGAAAGGGTGGAGTCAGGGGGAAGCTCCAGCCAAGTGACTATTCAGGTGTTAACATCTTTAGGGAGTAAATGAAATTCTCTATCTTCCCTCTTTCTTCCTCCTCCATGAAGAGCTCACCTTTTGCTTTCTTTTACTAATCCAAGGAGAGCCTTATAATCTTGTGGACAGATCCTAATTTTGAGAGTGAGCCTCAGAACTTTCTAAAAATATTCCTATATTTCATGCAAATGGATAATTGTCCTTCATGCTCTCCGAACTCCTTCTTCCTGCCATCTTGTTTGGACACAGTTCCACCCACTGGCACTGCCTTATCATTCTCCTTCTCAAGGAGTCCTGATGTTTACAGGGGAAAAGGG